CTTAAGGCATTCACTTGTTATCAAAAATCTGCTGAAAATGAAGATGTTAATGGAATATTTAGTGTTGGTCATTGTCATGCAAATGGGATTGGCATTGAAAAAGATAAAAATAAAGCATTTTCATGTTACCAAAAAGTAGCAGAAATGGGTTATCCTGGTGGAATATTGCGAGTTGCGGAATGTTACGAAGACGGAATTGGAATTGAAAAAGATAAGCACAAAGCATTTATTCATTATAAACGCTTAGCCGAAGTGGAACACGCTCACGGAACATTTAAAGTTGGTAATTGCTATCGATTTGGAATTGGAGTCGAAATAGACGAATGTAAAGCGTTTACTTATTATAAAAAATCTTATGAGATGGGTCACGTTGACGGAACGTATAGTCTTGGTGTGTGTTACGAAAATGGAATTGGCATTGAAAAAGATGAATCTGTTGCATTTACTTATTATAAAAAATCAGCTGACATGGAACACGCTACAGGAATATCTCAAACTGCTCATTGTTATAAAAATGGAATCGGTGTTGAAAAAGATGAAACTAAGGCATCCAATTATTATAAAAAATTATCTGATTTGGGTTTTACAGAAGGTCTACATTCATACATTAGAAATGCACTAGCTAACTTAGTTAATGAACGTGATCAAGATGATAAAATTGAAATAAAAGATCATTCTGAATATTCGTTGGAAGGTATAGATATGGAACTTGATATTGGTGAACAATTATTAGAAACATTAAGAAAAATTTGTCCGACATTATATGGAATATGTGAAGAATGTCAGCAGCCAAATACAGGTGAATCATGGTATAAAGATTGTAACGCTAAGCATTTTCAACAAGAATTTTCAAAATGGACTAGCGGAAACAAGGGCATTGATGAATTTATTCAAAAAGTGCAACTTGATCCTAATGATCAAAGAGAAAAATTTGAATGGATTCCTTTTGATAAACTTAAAAATGTTCAATTTATTGCTCAAGGAGGGTTTGCAACAGTTTCTAAAGCTATTTGGACTGATGGACCCATAATTAGATGGGATATCAAAAAGGGAGAATGGAAAAGAGTTGGTGGTCGACCAGTAATTTTTAAAAGGTTGAAAAATTCACAAAACATGTCAAAAAAGTTCTTAAACGAGGTATATTTATTAATATGTGATGTCAATTGCTTAATAAAATATATTTTAATTATTAATAATTATCGAAAATTATGTAGATTAAAGTACAAGTTATATCAAATCTTCAAGGCGATGTTACTCAAATTTACGGAATTACAAAAGATCCACAAGATGATGTTTATGTAATGATTATGAATATGCAAAGTATGGGAGTCTTAGAACATATTTAAATGAAAATTTTAATAATTTAAAATGGGAAAACAAAGTAGAAATTTTATACTATATTGCAAGAGGTCTTAAAAATATTCATGAAAGAGATTTAATTCATCAAGATCTTCATGGGGGGAATATTGTAATGAGATCAAAAACTTTGTCTACGATTACAGATTTTGGACTTTGTAAACCTGTAGATCATTATGAAACTCTTGAAAACAGTCAAAAAATTTATGGCATACTTCCATACATAGCACCTGAAGTTTTACGTGATGGAAATTATACAAAAGCATCGGATATTTACTCTTTTGGAATTATTATGTTTGAAGTGCTCTTTGGTTATCCAGCTTATTATAACATGCCGCATGATAATGAACTAGCTTGCAAGATAATTTTTGGTCTCCGTCCAGAGTTTGAAACACTTGCACCAAAATGCTTAATAGACGTGATGAAAAGATGTTGGGATTCTGAACCTCAGAATAGACCGACAGCCAAAGAAATTGATGATAAATTTAGAAAATGGAATGATGAACATACTGCACCAACTTCAGAAATATCAATGAATATTAAAGAAATTATTAATACATCAACAAATTCTTTTGTTTCAAGCGTATCAGAACTCAATAAATTAAATTACAAGACTCATCCACAAGCATTATATACGAGCCGACTAATTGATTCACAAGAAATCATTGCAAT